CCCCCCCCCCCCCACAACCCTCATCCCAGGCCCCAAGAAGACCATCCACATCAAGCAGATGTTCACCTGCACATCTGCTAATGTGGTATAATGTATCTGCTGTTCCAGATGTGGCCTCCTCTACATCAGGGAAACCAAGCGGAGGCTTGGGGACCGCTTTGCGGAACAGCTACGCTCGGTTCGCAACAAACAACTGCACCTCCCAGTCGCGAACCATTTCAACTCCCCCTCCCATCCCTCAGACGACATGTCCATCCTGGGCCTCCTGCAGTGCCACAATGATGCCACCTGAAGGTTGCAGGAACAGCACCTCATATTCCGCTTGGGAACCCTGCAGCCCAATGGTATCAATGTGGACTTCACAAGCTTCAAAATCTCCCCTCCCCCCTACTGCATCCCAAAACCAGCCCAGCTCGTCCCCGCCTCCCTATCCTGTCCTTCCTCCCACCAATCCCCTCCTCCACCTCGAGCCCCACTCCCATCTCCTACCTACTAACCTCATCCCGCCCCCTTGACCTGTCCGTCCTCCTTGGACTGACCTATCCCCTCCCTAACTCCCCACCTACACTTACCTTTACTGGCTCCATCCCTGCCTGTTTGGCCTGTCTGTCTCCTCTCCACCTATCTTCTCCTCTATCCATCTTCTACCCGCCTCCCCCTCTCTCCCTATTTATTTCAGAATCCCCTTCCCTTCCTCCATTTCTGAAGAAGGGTCTAGGCCCGAAACGTCAGCTTTCCTGCTCCTCTGATGCTGCTTGGCCTGCTGTGTTCATCCAGCTCTATACCTTATTATCGCATAAGGGGGTAGAATGGGATAGGAGTGTCAGCGATGTGATCACACCAAAGGTTCAGCCCGATAGATGGATGACCACCAGGACAGGCAAACAGGCATTGGAGGAGTTGCCTTTGGCCATTCCCCTCTCTAACAAGTTTTGAATACTGTTTACGGTGGGTGGTTGAAGAATAGTCTTTCAGCAGAAATTAACAACAGCAGCCAGTTGAGTGGCACCATAACCATAACTGTTCAACACCAGGAAGGATCGAAGTACAGGCGAGTGTTGGTTATAGGGGACTCAATAGTCAGGCAGAGAAAAATGTTTCTGTAGCCATAAACAAGATTCCAGGATGGTGTGTTGCTTCTCTGGTGCCAGGGTCAAGGATATCTCTGAGCAAGCATAGGACATTCTGATGGAGGAGGTTGAGCAGCCAGAGTTTGTGTTCCATATTAGTACTAACGACATAAGCAGAAAGAGAGATGTGGTCCTACAAAGGTGGAGAAGCCTTGACGGTTGAATGGCCTACTCCTGCACCTATTTCCTGTGAATTTAGGGAGTTGGGCAGAAAATTGAAAAGCAGGACCTCTAAGGTTGAAATCTTGAGTTTACACACGCTGTGTTTATGTGGTGTAAACACACTGTGTTTATGTGGTGAGTCCAGTTGAGTTTCTAGTCAATGATAACCCCCAGGTTGTTGATGGTGGGGGTTCAGTAATGATAATCACTGAATATCAAGTGAATATCAAGGGGTGGTGGTTAAATTCTCTCTTTCTAGAGATTGTCATAGCGTGGCATTTGTATGATGCGAATGTTACTTGCCACTTGTCAGCCCAAGCCTGGATATTGTCCAGATCTTGTTCCATGTGCTAGTGAGGCCAGAAATAGAAATATATTAAGTTAAATGCATGGCTAAAGAGCTGGTGTAGGAGGGAGGACTTCAGATATCTGGAAATTGGGATGTTTTCCAGGGCAGGAGGGACTTGTATGAGAAAGACAGGTTGCGCCTAAGATGGAGGGCATGAATATCCTTGCAGGGATGTTTGCTAGTGCCACTTGGGAGAGTTTCAATTGGTCTGCTTCCACACAGTTGAGATTCTATGATTCTATGAATGGATCTTTGTGGATGTTGTGCCAATCAAGTGGCTGCTTCATCCTGGATGGTGTCGAGCTTCTTGAGTGTTGTTGAGGCTGCACTCATCCAAGCAAGTGGGGAATATTCCATCACACTCCTGACTTGTGCCTTGTAGATGGTGAACAGGCTTTGGGGAGTCAGGAGGTGAGTTACTCACTGCCGTATTCCTAGCTCCTGACCTGCTCTTGTAGCCACTGTGTTTATGTGGGGAGACCAATTGAGTTTCTGGTCAATTATAACCCCCAGGTTGTTGATAGTGGGGGTTCAGTAATGGTAACCACTGAATATCAAGTGAATATCAAGGGGTGGTGGTTAAATTCTCTCTTTCTAGAGATTATCATAGCCTGGCATTTGCATGATGCGAATGTTACTTGCCACTTGTCAGTCCAAGCCTGGATATTGTCCAGATCTTGTTCTATTTGAACATGGGCTGCTTCAGTATCTGAGGAGTCGCAAATGGTGCTGAACATTATGCAAGCATCAGCAAACATCCCCACTTATGATGGAGGGAAGGTCATTGATGAAGCAGCTGAAGGTGGTTGGGCCGAGAACACTACCCTGAGGAACTCCTGTAGAGATGTCCTGAAGCTTCGATGACTGACCTCCAACAAATATGACCATCTTCTTATGTGTCTGATATGACTCCAACCACCAGAGCATTTGCCCATTGATGCTAGTTTTGCTTGGGTTTATCGATGTCACACTCAATCAGATGTGGTCTTGATGTCAAGGACTGTCACTCTTGCTTCACCTCTGGAATTCAGCTCTTTTGTCCATGTTTGAACCAAGGCTGTAATGAGGTCAGGAGCTGAGTGGCCCTGGCAGAACCCAAACTGGGCGTCACTGAGCAGGTTATTGCTGAGCAGGTGCTGCTTGATAGCACTGTTAGTGACGCCTTCCATCACTT